TTTTTTTTTTTTTTTTTTTTTTTGGAGTCACAGTGGACGGAGAGCACAGAGCACACGTGAGAGGCGAGCGAGGAACGAGGGTGATTCAACTTTTTTGCTCGCCGTGAGTGGCTCTGAGGAAAGAAGGAGGACCGCTCACGGTCCACAAAAAAGTGGTTTTCAAGGCTCGACCAGTTGAATTGCTTTTTACCTTTTGTCCTAATTTGAGCAATTTTCAATCTCAATGTGAAGTTTGCTGTAGTGATGTTAACGTGATTCCAAATCTCTCTATTGTACCAAAAAAGTTAGTGATGGTCACATTGAAACTGACTGAACTCCATCCAGAAAACTGGCCCATTCTACGCTGCAAGCAGAGGTTTCTCTCTTGCATGGCTTTTAGCGTAGGAAGTCGTTTACGTCGCTTTTGACGGCAACGAGAACGTCTGAAAAAACAATAGGTTGAAAAGCAAAACAACAACTTTGTACGTGCATCACGCTTTTTTTGCACATTTCTTTGCCGTTTTTGCGCGACTACGACGTGAAAATACCTAATTTCGTGTTTTATGGAGAACGTAAACAGGCAATGACGAAATTTTATTTCGCTTTCTGAAATCGAATATGGTCACTTGGAAATCAAATTCAGGAGGGTTCCCGTGCATTTGACAAAGTAACTAAGTAGGAATAATCACGCTAATGACTGAAAGAACGTTAAGCGACGTTCCCGTTGCTGTCGCGTCGTTAGATCTTAAGGTGATGTTACACGGGACGATTCACAAAGACGACTTTTAGTGCAATACAGCGTTGCAATGTTGGAACAATGTTGTACGGCTATTCGAAACAATGTCGCAACAATGTTTCAACGCTGCTTTGCGCTAAAAATCGTCGTTGCGAATCGTCTCGTGCAACATCACCTTAAAAGTCCCTAGTCGCGACTGACAAGCAGCGCGAACGCCATTCAAGAGAGAAACGTCTGCTCGCAGGGTAGCCCATTCAGGTCAGTGCCGAGCTATTTCTAAGCTTAGCTCTCTTGTGACGCCAGTCTTAGCTTGCACACCTGTTGTAGCACCATTGTTAGACTTGTTCCCAATCTTGTTGTGACCCTTAGTTGTTTCTTGGTTAAACACGTTTTAAACACGTTTCTTTTCTTTCTTTTTTTGGAGTTGATTCATGAATTCAAGAGGATTTACACTGCATGACCTTTGTTTCTTCTTTGGCTACACAGGGTTGTTGGAAGATGTAGAAAGTGTATGAAGACTCGACAACGATGCCAGATTATGGCATGACTTCTCGCAGTACAGAGCAATGTTGAAAGAGCTGAGGCGTTCAGAAGAAAGCTTTGAAGATGGTTCTAAAATCGCCTACCTACTCCAGGTTGGTAAACATGCAGATTCAGTAATCTGCAAAAATATAACTGTAAGCCTCACCTTTTAGCCTGGCTAGTAAATGTTGAATTGGAGACTTATGCAGTCGGTTTGGATAATAATATCACTCCAGTAACAGCATGTTGGGTAAGGGGGCCAGTTACCAGTAACGATCAATGGAGCGAATTTTCCCTTCGTAAACGGTCTTTGCCATTTTTAAGACACTCAAGGCCTGAATTTTACACGGACTGTCGCGGTTTGCCGCTTTGAGAACGAGAACTCTGTTAAACGTAACAAAAATCATCAAAATTTATAAGATTACAAGAGAACAATGCCGATATGGGCACTTTACAAAACAACCCAGCCTTGCAGATGGGGCCATTCCGGATCATGTAATCAGGCTCTAAGAAAATATTTGTCCTGTTTTTCATAACTGTCTTTCTAACTTACACATCGGGTCATGTAGCAGCTGCTCAGAAGAACACTTCTCTACTCATCCTGTTGGCCCTAGCTTTTTCTCTAACATTTTACGTAACTCTGCTTTAAGATTTCTTTTTTCGTAGACATTTGCCTCATATTAACTTAATCCGGAGAATTTTTAACCACGACGAAATAGGCATCAATTGTTATGTGCAAACTGAAAGATCTTTGACTAAATCTGTTCCCTTTTTTCAGGAACCTGATTTACGCTATCTTGTAGAAAACATTTGGAATAGCCAGAGCGTGCTCAGCGCTCACGAAGACCTGTTTGACCTGATTCTTGTACGGTGGAATAAGTACGAAGAGTAGTCTCCGTGGAACTGTATTTTACTCACAAAGGAGGAGGCATCTGCTCACGCCAAACTGGAAAACGTTACTGAGGTACGGCTCCTTTTCTTTGTTTGTCTTTGTTGTTTTAAAGTAATCGTCAATAGATGGGCGTGGGAAAGATGGTTGAGTAAACAGAGGAAGCCGCAAGCGAACGTGAAGGTAACCAAGACAACCCTGTGAGCGGCACCCACCAGGCACCGAAACACTGAGAACCAAAGCAAAAAGGCTTTGACACAAGCACAAGCAAAGACAACGCATGCAAAATGACTTGACCACCAAAGGAGCGCTGTAAAAATGCTGGGACCCTGAAAAAGCCTTAAGGCCGCCCCACATACGATTAGAACGGAGACCGCTGGCCAGCAATGTCTTGTGTTTAACCTCACTTAAATTACTTTTAACCACATTTCATGCTTTAGAGTGTCCTTTAGTCGGATGTGGAAGGGGGAATCGGGCCAAATCGGATGCAGTAAAAACCCGCGACTAAGAACTTGCATTTTCCCGCATTAGTCTAAACAGGTTCTTACATAAATGTTAATTAGCATAAATTTAGGCTGTTAAGGTTCGATCATCCACGAAACGAACGATCTTGCACCTTCTTTTGAAGTACAATAAAGGCCCGCGACTTAAAGAACAGGGTTCGCACAGTCTTGAAAAGTCCTTGAATTTTAGGGGAAGTCCTTGAAAAGTCCTTGAATTCCATTTTCCTTGAAAAGTCCTTAAATTTCTGTGCAAGTCCTTGAAAAGAGCTTGAATTTTCTTCAACTTTGAATGTAGTAGCCTGGAAAGAATTTTTTGATGCTTTTTGGTTGTCCAAGACAGAATATAAATCGTAGCTCAGTGAATGTAAAGGTCATTTACATAAAGTGCTCCATGTTTTATGCAATAATTAACTATCAGTTTAAGACAGGTGAACTGAAAAATGTAGAGAATTTGGTGAAGCAAATAGTTTAAGCCTTAAAGTCTTATTAGAATATACTGGGAATATCGATTTTTGTACAATCTGTGAAATTATATTCCTAGTAGGTTGTCCTTGAAAATCTAATGTGGTCCTTTAAAAGTCCTTGAAAAGTCCTTAAAAAATGGTGGCAATTTTTTGTATGAACCCTGAAGAACCTGTTTTTTAAAAACAGGTTAGGCTAAAATTTGCCAGTTAGGCCCCCTCTATACAGAACCTGTGAAGCCCAAAATTTGAAACAAGTTCTTAGTTTCTGTTAAAAATCTATAATAATAATAATAAAAAAATCAGTATACTTTGGCAAATAAGATAAGTTAACATTTAGGATCCTCTTTGGAGACAAAGTTGTTTTTTTTTTAATTACTCCAACCATAATTGTAACAGTATCCAGGTTTTACCAAAGGAATAAGCTGACTACCACTCATTATACTCTTAGCTATAATGTTTTTTTTTTCTTCAGAAAATAAGAATCTATTAAGATCCTTGCAAATGAGGATTATTCACCGATGTTTGCTTTCTTGTTTGGTGCTTCTTCCGGTACGATATGGATGCCACAATTAATATTTAGTCCCTGCATGTTGAGATAACTACCCCGCTGCTTCACAAAGTCGTGGAATACAGAACAAATATTGCAAGCAATGGTTTTACCCATACGAGCAAGCTCTTTTGGGGTGGAAGTAAAGGAAACGCCCTCCATTTCCAACCCCACCCCCATCCCCCAAGTTGGAGGTGATTCCCTTCACTTCCTTCGATTATCCTCACTCTAACTTTGTATTTCTTTCCATCAGGCATACGGGCGGATGTTTATCGGGAAGATTCTACACAAGCACGTACTGGCTCGTAACTACTTTTCACGCCTACCCGGCATGGCGGAACACATGAAGAAGAGAATTTCTGGACAAACTCGAGGATTAGCTGCTAACAATGGGGCGAGAGCGGCAGCACTTAAGGCGTAATCTTCGCTATTGAACTACAAATCATAAATTCGTCATTGTTTAGCACTTCGTAACTGTAGGCCCTAACATTGTGCATTAAAAGGAAAATCTTCGTGAAAAAGTGACAAATCATTCTGATGCGTATTTTGATTTTTCTTTTCTTTAAAGATGTACATATATAGGTATTATTTCTTTAACGGTATTAGAACAACTTGTTTTTTTCTTGTTCGTTATTGTAAATAAATGAATAAAACTGAAACAGTAGCCCATTCTTCGATCTGCGTAGTTAATGTATCCAGACCGTCAAACGAAAGACATGTAAAATAAATACAACAACAACTATGCGCTTTGTAGACTGTTAACAGAAGAAAGTCCTTACACCACGTTGCCATAGTAACAAAATTTCTAGAACTCAACAAACCGTGGACCTGAAAATATGGCAGAAAACAAATGAAAAAAATGACAGTGCATAATTGCTCCCAAGAATGAGACGGTAGCTCCTCTGTCAAAAAAAGATTGTTGAGATGCAGAAATTTTGCAACCGTGGTAACCTGACGTCACACCTCCTTCTATTGTCTGACCTTGGAGTTGATCAGTTTAAAAATTCAGTTTAATCTGCTATATTTTCAGGCGTTAAATAACAGAATGCTACTTGTTTCTTTCTATACCTGATATATTTCTTCTTACATTTCACGACACAATTCAATTTTTTTACGGTTGCATTACGGTACAAAGTAGGGCCTGGAGTTGATGTCATAAACGTTTGGTGGAGAATATAAGATAATGGCTAAAATTCAGCTCCATGTTCACATTTCAAGAAAACGTTCTTTAGCGACGAAACAGTCTTCATAAAAGTGACGGAGAAACCAAAGTCATTTTTCGTAAAAAAGCAAATAATGAGTACTTGAATTGACGAGACAACACTAACAATTTGGAGCATGAATCTCGTCATATATCTCAAGATTTGTTTGCATGTGTTTCCTGTAGGTCGTATTATTACAAAATGCTTCTTGGTTCAAGATCATAGACGATGCATTTTCCATTAAACAGTTTTTTTCAGATTGATTGATTGAATGATCGATTGATCGACTGATTGATTGATTTAAGAGGTCTGGCACGAAGACATTTGATTCAGCTCTAGCCTGAGCTCTATTGTTATTTTGCCTCTTAAATACAACACTCCAAAAAGATGTTTGTTATTAAGAGCTTGTAAAATTGGGGGTAATCTCAGGTTTTCTTAGCTTCTCTAGAGAAGACTTGGAAGGAAAATGAGAGTATACGTACTTATAAACAAAGCGCCTTCATACTGGACGTTCTGAAACTTAGAAAATTATTAATATTAGTGTGGGCGAAAATCAACATGTGACCTTTAGTAGACTTCGGAGACAAATTATTTTGAGCGCGCGTATTATTTGTTTATTTATTTAATTCATGTGTACATTTAGTTCGTTTATTAACGCCTTAATTTTACTTTGCGTTATTTTTCTCACTTATACATTGTCCGTGACTGTGCTCACATGGTGGGTGGCTCCTCCTAAAATGTTCTGCAATTGGTATAGGATTTAATGGAGCCGAAACCAATTGTGGAATTGCACGTAGATATGTATTTTTTAGCAACTAAGATAATTTGCAGTCTGTCTACTTTGAATTAATAGAGACATAAAATGTATCTTGTCTTTATTCGTTTGCAGCCTCCCTTTCCTTGTGTAGTTAAACAAGAGATTAAAATAACATTGAAATTATGAAACAAGAAAAAAGAACTTTGAAAAAAGTTAGCTTCAGTAACCGTTTGAAATCTTTTCCCCCTTTGAGAAATAAATCAATGAATGATAACAACAATAATAATTTTCAGCTTTAAAAATGTCTAACAATACCAATGAATACGCCTCGCACTAGTGTTGAGAGGGTGCGGCGCTTATTTGAGGAAGGTTTTACATGGTAGTTATGGCAAAAGTTAGTCAGAGACGTCATTATATCACTAAATCTACATTTTGTATTTAAATTATTAAGGGAAAACCTGGATCAAGATAAGACTTTTTACCGGTGAATTAAACTATATACGTGTGTAGAAGGGGACTTCTACGGACTTTAGGATTACTTGAAGAGAGGTGACACAACCAGAGTTTGGAAGTTGACGATGGTTTTAATCTTTCCGTTGAGGTTACAAACTCCTCTTAGGTATCTCAGATCTCAAGGCGTAACTGTGAAACTAGTTACAAGAGGTTCTATTTATATTGAACTATTAAGTTAATTGATTTTTTACAGTTTTACATGGCATT